AAGGTAGGGAAGGGCTAGGTGGGAAATAGCCGTCGGATGGTAGTCATCGGTGGCTTCCCGTTGAAATGGAAAGAGCCTTGAGTGCTATCTTGGGGTGGGGACTCAACCCTGGCTTTTGGGGGTGATGTTGGTGGGGTGGTATCATGCTTATCAAATTTGCAGGTCAGCCCAGCCTGGGAGAAGCTTCAAGGGCTTTGCAGGACAGGGCTGGAACTTGAAAGGATCTTGGCCAATCAGGGAAATGGTCTCAAAAATGATGTGGTGCTTTGATTCGGTCAGGTGAAGGCAACACGCATGGATCAGCCATCCAGGGTGAGACAGGACATGATAAGAGAGGTGAAGGCTTGGGGATGTCATAGCTCCCAACCAAACCTTCGTGCTGGAGGTGGCCACCACCCCAGGCTACTGAAATAGGGATATTGCGAGCATCCGTAACAGCTCAGGGATAATCCTACTCATCCTGGTGTTGGTGAAGACACAGCTGATGAGGCTGTGGAGCTGAGCACTGGTCCAGAAGAGAGGAATGAAAATGGGTGGAGAAATGGGGACCTCCAAGGAGCATCTTGAGGGCTGTGTGTCCTGGGTAACTCTCTAGGAGAGACTCGGTGGTGGTTTTGCAATGTACAATGTGACGAAGGAAGGGAATAAATTGGTTTCTGGGGGTTTTTTTGGGTTTTTTTTGTGGTTGGGACCTCTGAGTAATGTGAACATCAGCCCAGGATGTGGTTTCTCAGCTGTGTTGGGAATCGTTGTCTGGATAAGGGCTGTCCCTGCCTGAGCTGGGCATGGGTTGAGATGTCCTTATGGCTCTCCTTTCTGATGGCCACGTGTAGCCGGAGCCCGTGGGCATCCACCAAGGAATTATAAAACAGCAGTGAGAAGAACAGAGCTTGTTTCATCTCATCCAGGAGAACAGAGCTTGTTTCATCTCACCCAGGAGCCAGCGCCGGCGCGGAGACGTGTGTGGTTCGTTAGCGCGCTTAGCAATTTGCATTTTCTAGGTGTGCTGCTAACTAATCCCATCGCAGCCATCTCCATTTCCCCTTTTAACTTTCTCCTTTTGCAAAGTTGGGATTGGTTTTTTGGGTTTTTTTAGTTCCCCATCATTTTGCTGCATCCGGGGTGACGGCGAGATGAATTTCTCTTTCTAATGAGGGTATTATTTTTTTTTCCCCAGTCTCGTTGACCCGGTGCTTTGACAGCTGTGGTTTTAATGGTTCAACAATTTATCCATTTGTTGGGTTTTTTTGGGGTGAGACAGCTGACTTTGAAATGTGCTGGTCTGGCAAACCAACCCAACCACTGCTCTGCGACCGGCCAGGAGGTCGTTACCCCGCCGCACTGGGAGATTTCAATTATTCAAATGGATAATTAACAGCCAAGGATGAGCTGGGAGGTCCAGGCAGATGGCTCAGGGCTGGGGTTCCTGGGATGGTCCCCAGGGATGAGCATCCTTCTCCTGCTGGGGTTGTGGGGTCTGGCTTAGCCCAGGCTCCCCCCCAGCATCTCCTCTGACGTCCCCTGGAAGGAAACCCAAATCACTTCATCTTCTTGACTGGATGTTGGCCTCCTCTTGGGCTGCTGGACTCTTTGGAGACCACTTGTTTGCTGTAAAATAAGTGAAACTGAATCCCCCAGATGCTTTCTGTGCAATACTTTCTCTTTTGTAAATATGTAAGGCCTTCCAAGTGGTTTTCTTTTCTATGCAGAAAAACTTGCCTTCTGATGTCAGTAAATTCACTTTCGAGGACCTGTCACTTCTTCTGAGTGGCCAGTTGTGAAGAAGCAATTTCTCTCTCCCTTCCCTGTTTTGCTTCTCCCTCTGCTTTTTGTTTCCCCGTTGCTTTGAAAAACATGACCCAGCTTATTCACTTCTTTGTTTCTCTTCCCTCTTGACTCACCAAAGTGAGTGTCCTCGTACGTACGGTGCCGTAGTTGGGTTTCTCAGCGTGGGTTTCATCAGATGCCAACGGGAGGAAGAAGATGGAGCATCTCCCGCAGCCTTTTTATGTATGTTTTTTCCATTTGCTGCAATTGTGGGTGTTTTCACTCCGTGACTTAGTAAAAAAAATGTTTTAAAAACTTCTGTTTGGGTTGATCAAAACATTTCATTCAACCCTAAGTGCAACACTTCATCGTAGCGCACTTTGTATGCACCCTGAGTGCGCTGCTTTTTTGAAATAAAGTGCATCCTATTCAGAATTCAAGTACCACCTTCAGAGAAAAACTAAATATGAATTTCTTTTTAAAAAATATCTCTCTTTTTTTTTTTTCCTCCTGGCTGCAGCTCTCAGATCAGTTTGATTTAGGATTAAGCCTGGTTTTGGGCATCCTTCAACTGCGCTGTCGTGCTGGGTGGTCTTCCAGCCAAAATAACCTGGGAGCTCCTGCAGCCCCAGTCAGAGCATCTCCTAATTAACCCCCTTCCTTGTTATTATTAAATCTCACTGTTTTTACTTAAGAAGTGCCCAATGCTTGGAAAATCAGCCTCTCAGCTTCCCTCCCCGTGGTGATGCCCTGGTCTTGCCGTCCTTCCTAGAAGATGCACCAGGAGAAACCCAAAGGGTGGAGAGCCCCTCTGGTGCTCCCCTTAAGCAAGGGAAGCTGCTTCTCTGCTTTGGGGATGAAAAGTTCTCGTGTTGAAGAGACTGTCAGGCTGAGGAGCTTTCGTGAAACCATTTCAAAATGAATTTGGGAAAGGGTTCTGACATATTGACATTGAGGATACGTGGGTACGACGTGCACGAAGCAGCCATTTCCCCCAGTATTTTCTGTTCCTGATGTGGTGGCAGACACCTTGCCTGCCCTACGGTTGTCACAAAGACATACTAAAAAAAAAAGCAAAAACCAGGTGTGTGCTGTGTTACGAGGAGAGGCTGAGGGACTAGGGTCTTTTGAGTCTTGAGAAGAAGACTGAGGGGGAACCTGATCAAGGCCTATAAATACTTCAAGGGTGGGTGTCAGGAGGATGGGGCTGGTCTTTTTTCAGTGGTGCCCAGGGACAGGACAAGAGGAAATAGGCACAATCTCGAGTATAAGAAGTTCCACCTAAACGTGAGGAGGAACTTCTTTCTTGTGAGGGTGGCAGAGCCCTGGCAGAGGCTGCCCAGAGAGGTGGTGGAGTCTCCATCTCTGGAGACATTCCAACCCCACCTGGACACGTTCCTGTGGGACCTGCTCTGGGTGGACCCACTTTGGTTGGACTAGATGACCTCCAGAGGTCCCTTCCAACCCCATATGATTCTATGATTCCAGAGGCTGGCTGCCAAATTGTGGATTTTACTGTTTTCTGCAGTTTTCTGGGTCTGGAGGGCTCTTTTCAAAACTTCACAGGATTTAGACACGAGCCATTTGCTTTGCAGAGCATGTCTGAAGGTTGCACAGATGAGCTCCTCTGCAGCACCTCCTGGCCAAGGTGGTGGCACGGGGGCAGGTCTGGTGACCATGGTGGAGCGGTGGTGGCCCCCCAGCCCTCGGGGCTGACCCCGTTGTGTGCCCAGGCTGATGGATCCCCAGGCTCTCGGGGACTTTAGCAGCACAGACCATCCCATCACAGTGCTTTGTGTTCCTTGGCATGGCTTCCATCCCTGGCACAGATGCCGGCTTTGTCCCCGCGTCCCCTGCGACAGCTCCGTGGTCGCCGGGCGGCCGCCGCGCGTTGCTCCTCACAGGCATCTGCTGCCTCGTGCTTCCCCATCTGCTCCCGTTTTTCTGCAGGAACCAGGGGGGCAAACGTTGCCCTTTTGTCACCGGAGGGTTCATCTGCTCCTGGAAGGGTTTTCGCACGGGGCAGTGATTTCACTTGGCAAACGGAGTGTCGTAGAACAGTTGGGGTTGGAAGGGAGCTTTAAAGGTCATCTAGTCCACCCCCCCTACCATGAGCAGGGACATCTGCGACCGGGTCAGGTTGCTCAGAGCCCCATCCGACCTGACCTGGAATATTTCCAGGTATGGAGCATCTCCCACCTCTCTGAGCAACCTGGGCTGGTGTTTCACCACCCTCAGCCTAAACGATTTCTTCCTTATATCTAGTCTAAATCTCTCCTCTTTCAGTTCAAAACCATTCCCCCTTGTTCTATCACTCCACTCCCTGATCAAGAGTCCCTCCTCATCTTTCCTGGAGCCCCTTTAGGGACTGGAAGGGGCTCTAAGGTCTCCCCAGAGCCTTCTCTTCTCCAGGCTGGAGAACCCCAACTCTCTCAGCCTGTCCTCAGAGGAAGGGTGTTCTGTCCCTCTTAGTAATGGGCTTGTCTCTTGGGTATGGAAACACAGTCACATCTCCTGGAAAAAGGCCACAGCAATGTCCTTTGGTGGGTGGGTGAGTGTGTACAACCCAAGTGGAGAAGTATTTGGGCTTTGGGAATCAAGACTCAGGCACTGCAGCATTTCTGAAGTGCTTGGGTACCCTCAAAGCAAAGCCAGCTTTTGAATAGCTCCAAGTCTCTGGAGTATTTTGAGATGAATGGTGTCATGTAGCTGAAGAAGAGTCCAGAGGAACCCCAAATTTCCAGCTGGGCTTTCTTTGAGATGAATGGTGTCATGTAGCTGAAGATGAGGCCAGAGGAACCCCAAATTTCCAGCTGGGGCTTTGCCCACAGGTGGCCAACCCAACTCAACCCAACGCACGGGCAGGCTGTCCACTGGATGGTCTGGGGGGTATCGCCGACATACGGACTTGGCGTTATTATTGACAACAACTCAGTTAAAGCTTGACAAGGGCATTAAACATGAAGAAAGCTGTATTTCTGGAAACAGAATGAGCACTGGTGTCATGGGTAAGGCCTTGCTCAGCTCTGCGACGTGCTCTCTCCAGGGAAGGACCTCAAAGGCAGACTGTAATTGCACAGAATAACTTTATCGCTCTGTATAAATTTAATCCTGTTTTCTCTGCTAATGCTACACCCACACGCTAAAGTGCTTCTCATCAAGTATGCCAAAGATATATGTAATAATTAAGTAGTCTTCCCGTATAATTTTTGTCTTTTTTTTTTTTTTTCCAGGAGATGTACTTTCAAGAAGTTCATCTTTATGATGCTGCTAAAACTTGCATGTCAAGAAAGCGAGTGGATGTCTTCTGAGTAGTATTTCTCCAGGGACAGGAGGACCAAACAGTTTTCCAGCATTGCTGAGCGTATGATAAGGTAAGAGAAGATGATAAATGTTTTTATGAGCTCTAGAGCACCTGCAGACTGGTTTTTCTGGAGGAGATGAAGTGGGTTCGGTGCTCAGAGCTCCGCACGAGGGTTTCCCCTGTTATTATTTCATATGACCTATTTCACATGGGTGAGGAATGTTTTCTTAGACTCATGGATATCTGCTACAGGCAAGTTAACCTTCCCCCAGTGCACAGGGTGGGAAGGGGAAGAGAAAACGTTAGGTGAAACTTTCATTTTCACTTCATATAAGAAGTTCCATCTCAACATGAGGAGGAACTTCTTTCGTGTGAGGGTGGCAGAGCCCTGGCAGAGGCTGCCCAGGGAGGTGGTGGAGTCTCCTTCTCTGGAGACATTCCAGCCCCACCTGGACACGTTCCTGTGCAACCTGCTCTGGGTGGACCTGCTTTGGCAGGGGGTTGGACTAGATGATCTCCAGAGGTCCCTTCCAACCCCATGTGATTCTGTGACTTCACATTTCTAGCATAGCTTCCTCTGGCCATGAACCTCGGCCAGAGGGTGCAAAAGGGCCACAAAATTCAGAGGTTTTGTTCACCTGCGTCCAAGGGAGGAGGGGAGATTTTAGAGTTTGGCCTCAGTTTTGAGATTAATGGGTCAACGAGGCATCTCTGCTTCAGGGAAAGTCAGCTCAGCCCCACCACGCAGAGGTGGACCTTGTGGTCCACCAAACGGTGACAGGTATTGCAAGTCTGGTGTCCCATCAACCTCTACTGTATATCATGGGATGAATTCCTTCAGGTCTGCAGGAAAGCAAGGTGTGTGCTAAGGAACTCCTCATTAACCAAGTATTATTACACAGCTGACTCCATTTCTCATTTATTTAAGTTATTTAAGCTTTTCTTTATAGTAGTGTGGCTGGTGAGACACTCATCAGCGTCACAGAACACTGTCTGTGGGCAGAAAATGAAAGCAAAATTAAAAATACGTGTGACTGTCAATGAAAAAAAAAATCAAGTTGTTCTTTCTTGTATTTCCAAACTGCCTTTTACTGGTTTCATCCCGTCTCGGCGTTTTGTTTCTCTCTTTCTCGGAAAGGAACTTGCACAATATCAAGTCACAGGCAGAGAGAAAGTATTTCTGGTGGGGAAAGAAATTCAGGGAGGAGCTTCTCCACCTCTAGACTTGCTGAAAGGGCTGTTTAAAGGCTCTCCCCACCCAAGGATAGGAAACCCACTCCTGTTTCCTAAGGAAAAATATCCAAGGGATACTGGAGTGTTGAAAAAAATCACAAATTTCCAAAGTGAATGGGCAAAGGGGTGGGAGGGAGAAGATACTTTAGGCTCATTCAAGAAGAGCTAGTGATTCTCTCTTCCAAACCCACCCTCACATCACCTAAACCAGAAAAACCAGGATATTTCTGTACTGAAGTGAAAACATCTTTGGTGCACAGATCTGTGGCTCCAGATGCTGTAGATAGCAACGTTCAGTTTAGGGTAAAAATCAGAAAAAAAGATAAACTCATCACTTCTTAACTCTTTCTGCAACCAGGAAGAGGGATTAGATGGCTTTCCTAGCTAGTGTGACCACTCACAAAGGTGGGTTTTTTTTCTATTTTTCCTAATATCCAGTCTAAACCTCTCCTGGTGCAACTTGAAATGTCCTCAAGTTGCTCCAGGGGAGGTTTAGGACGGATATTAGGAAAAATTTCTTCATGGAAAGGGTTGTCAAACATCAGAACAGGCTGCCCAGAGAGGTGGTGGAGTCACCATCCCTGGAGGTATCTAAAAGCCGGGCAGATGTGGTGCTGAGGGACATGCGTTAGTGGTGGTTTGGGCAGTGTTGGGTCGAAGGTTGGACTCCATGATCTGAAAGGTCCCTTCCAACCTGGACAATTCCATCATTCCATAAAAATTGTGTGTGGGATGGGGTTTTCCCTTTTGGATAAATGCTGCCAGAGTTTTCCATGGAGATAATTAATCCCCGAGACGTCGTACCGACTGGAGGTACAATATTTGATGCTGCTGGAGAAAACCTGAGGCTCCCTCAACTGCTCGGAGCCTGGGAGCAATAGCAATAATATCTATTCGCAGAGTTGACGAGGGGCAGAGCCACACGTGTTTAATTTAGTTAATGAATACAAATGGCAATTCAGCCTACAGCTCCAGCACAGGTACCTACGTGGGTGGCTTTGCCCTCCAACCACCTTTTGAAATCCCAGTTTCGGGTTTTGTAACTCCGGCGCAGGGGAAATTAAAGTCTTGTCTTTCAGTCTGCAAAGCTTTCCACTTTCTCCAAAAAAAAAATAAAAATAAAAATAATGTGTGCATGCAGAAAGGAATGTCAAGGTGCCATGACTTTATTAAATGCATTTGGTAGCGTAGCAGGAGGGAGCAAATAGTTTACAGGAAATAACTGAGTCTATTAATTTGGCTTCATTTTTCTTGCCTGGCCTTTTATTTACTTGAAATTTGAAGTGCCAAATGACTTCGATGAGTAATCATCATCATATAGCTATTTTATGGCTATTTTATGTTATGGGCACTTAAGACATGTTAATTAACCTTAGCAAACACCTTTGTCGCACAATATCACATCTTGCTTCTGAATGGGTTCGCCTGGGGTTGGGGGTCAGCTCTTCCCAGCAAGCAGTTGTGGATCCTAATCTGAAAATATAATTCCTAGTGACTTCTCTCTCATAATTGTCTCCTGAAATTACCTGTTCTTGTAAATATACTCAACAACAAACCCTCTTCCTAAAAGGTGCTCGTAGAAAGCAAATAAAAAGGGATGAAAATATGGCTGAAGCAAATTCTGTAGGATCTTCTGAGTGATCCCACCTCGTGGGTTTCTCTCTGTGGGCCCCCAACTCTTCCTTATGGCCCTGTTTTGGACTAAGCCCCAAGGTGACCCCACCTCACGGGTTTCTCTCTGTGGGCCCCCAACTCTTCCTTATGGCCCTGTTTTGGACGAAGCCCCAAGGTGACCCCACCTCACGGGTTTCTCTCTGTGGGCCCCCAACTCTTCTTTATGGCCCTGTTTTGGACTAAGCAGTTATCTGGTGTGACTTGTGGTCTCCAGGTTTGCACGGAGAGATGAGAGCAAAGGGATATTCCCTGGGACATCCGTTGGGAGTCATCTTGAAATGGAGATCTGAGCTGATGTGCCGGTGGTGGGGCTGATGGGCTAGAGCTGTCCAGTCTTCTCCTTCCTGGTTGGAAATTGGGATTTCTTGGATCAGTTATACTTCAGTTGCAAATATAAAAATATCCATCAGTTCCGAAGAAGCCACTGGGCCTCTCTGAAATAACTGCTCTCCTTCCTTCTCCTGCGGTGGTGGGTTCACCATGGTGTCCAGGACCACCCAGGAAAACTCTGATGGACTGTCTTGAACTAGTACAGCTTTTCAAGGTGTACTGTAATAACTTCAAGGATCAAAGAAAGGCCATGATGGACACGTTCAGCATTCAAAATCAGCATCAAAAGTCATGAGTCATATGCCAGAAGAAACTTGACATTTCTGATTAAGTGGTTTCGTGTTGTTGGGAGCTTTTGGGTCACATTTTCTGGTTTTCCTTTCAAGTCACAGAAACGTAACAACTTGTACTTGTTGTAGAGTTCCCAATTCTTATGATTTTCTTATGAATCTGCTCTGATCTGGCTCTTTTCTGCAGTTTCACTTCCTGGAGTCTGGGCATACTGGAGAACGTTAGAAAAATCAGCGAGGGAACCACAACTCAACAGAAGGTGGATGGCCATGATGTCCTGGGCACTGTGCCCATGTGCTTTGGGTCCCCAGGAGAGGGGGGCAGCTGGAGATGGCATGGGGACAAGCCTGGCACCCAGCAGAGCTTCAGCAGTTGGCTCTTGATATTCAGGGTCCTGCCGAGCCACAGCTCCTGCTGTCACCCCAGACCTGTCCCCCTGCTCAGGTTGTCCCTTCTCAAGTCCTTTAATTGGGGAGTGCGCGTATTATTATTATTTAAATTCGGAAAGAAAACCTGAGAAGCCTGAACCCGCCCTCTGGGGTGAACAGAAATGCAGCTCGGCTTTTAACGAGGTTCTTTAATCAAGTAAATTCCTTCAGCCGTGATGGGGATAAGAGCGGAGCAGTCGGGGAAGGCAGAGAGTTAAAATCACTCAGCTGGTGTGAAGTGAGCTGTGAGGAACAGGTCCCAACAGGCCCCCACAGAAGTAATTCTTTCTCCAGGCTTAATCTTCCATCTCAGTTTACAATTAAGCACATAATCCTTCTTGCTTTAATATTTCTACCTCGCTCTGCGGCTTCTCTTTGTTCCACCAAAGCAGCAAAAAAAAAAGGGTAAGACTGGAGTAAGAGGTTCAGGTGCGCGTGGACCTTGTGGGTCCCTCTTCTCTTCTTGAAGGAGGTCCACTTCTGGAAGTCACAGCGGGGCTTGGGATGGGATTGAATAGGTCCAGGACTAACCTCCTCGATTCCATATCCAAAACCAGCTGAAGAAATGAATCCCAAAAATTTTTGGTGAGACATCCTTTTGGAGAACATTGAGGAAATTAGGACTTCGCTTTCCCTGCAGATGTTGGAAATACGGTCCTCCTGAGGGTTTTAAATGCCTTTGAAAGGACTGGAGTTGAGTAGGAGAGTGCTGGAGGTCCAAAAAATGAGCTACTCCTTTATGGGTGAGCAGCAGGATGTGTCCCCCCTGAGACTCCCCAAGGTCCTTGTGTGGGATTTACGGGTAGCAGTGGTTGTCCCCAGAGTCACTTTGCTGCCGCGGCGGGGACGGCCCTGAAGCAGTAGAGCTCCTTTTGTCTTTCAAAAGAGCAAAGTGAACCAAGAGGCAGAACTTCAGCTACGTCAGCTGGCCTACACCTGCAGATGCATTTGATATACCCCATATTCCTTCCATAGTGCCTACACCTTCAAACAATAGATTTATGAAACTATTTTACAACCAATATGGACAGAAGTTTAGAGCATTACCCGCTTTTTTTTTTTTTTATCGACTGTAAAGTCATTACGCAAATCTATCACCTAAAATATGAGCGCCGTGGAAAGAACTTGATACTCCTAAAGCAGCCTTTATAAAAAAGCTTTATTGGATTTTAATTTGTAGCGCGGGCTATAAATTGTGCAAGCTGCGGCGCTCGCACCGTGTCCCTGACGTGGCATACATTGGGCTGCCCTTGAACCCATGACAGTGACAAAGATGCTCTTTCTAATAAAGTAACTAACTCCACGAGAGGTCTCCTTCCAACACTTCATTATGGTGGTATTAAGCTGTCTGGAGACACCTGCCACAGCCCATTGCCTTTGCTCTTCGTGTGGAGAGGGGGAGATGAGCTCCATTAGGGATGGTCAGCTTGCGGATCTTGCGAAATATTTCTTGAGGGTTGACACCTTTCCTGCCTGTGGTTTAAAAATGTCCCATCTCAAGAGCTAATACAGGGCTCCCAACTTCGCGCCGTCCTTAAATCCTTTCACTTTCAGCCGGCACGGATATACGGCGTTGAAAAAATTCCTGCCTACGTTGGCTACTTGTTATGTGCTAAATTCATTCGAGCAAATTGTTTAATCCAGGGCTTAATTCTCTCCCTGTTCATCAGCATAATTCTGGCCAGGTGATTGTTTTTAATATTAAAAACAATAGGCACAAAGACGAAGGGGGGGGGCTTTTCAATAGGCTCGATTAGAAATCCATCTCGATGCATTTCAGGTGCCTAAATATGTTTAAAATATCTGTCTCAGAGCAGTATTTAAATGCCACGGGTGGTCAGCAAGGTTGAAGCCAACTGGAAATGGCTCTGCTCACGCGGGTGCTTCATGGAGACTCTACCCTTGAGGCGTGTACGTGGGCAGATAACTTGTTTTTCCAAAATATTGTCACTGGCTGCCCTGAGCAGGACCTCATGCTGGGAGGTATGGTTTAGTGATGATGCTCCTTGTTTGTTGTGTGGGTGTCTATTTTTGTCAGTTAGGTTGACGGTTGGACAAGATGATCTTTAAGGTCCCTTCCAACCTAGAAGATTCTGTGATTCTGTGAATAAAATTAGTACATAGGTATTTGAAGGACTTGGTCTCTTGAAAAGAAGCAAATACATATTTTAAAAATCAAAGGAAAACACTGAATTCCCACGTGGGGATTTTAGAACGGTCCGGTAACACCTTGTCGCTCTTCATGGACCACTCGTGATGTGGCGAGGGAATAGGACACATCAAAAGCCACCTTTGTTTTAATGTGCATTGTCCTTTTCACATCATCACAGGTGGTCCAGAACTTTAAGGTCTTTTAGGGACTCAGGAAGTGTTGTCCTGCAGCAGATGTGGTACAACAACTCCATTTGCCCAGTTTGGTTTTGTTTTTTTTTCCTAAAACTACGCTCAGGACACAAAACTTCAGAACTGAAAGTGTGAATGTGACCCTGTTGAAAAAAATACAATGATGTCCCCATGGGACTGTCTTGCTGACTCCAGTTATTAGCAGTTGAAGCCTTAAAGACTTCAATAGTTGTGAAAACTATGTCAATCTTTATACACAGAGCAAGAAATAGCGGTAGATCTTGTTCAGACAACTCAACCGTAGAGCTGGTCGGGTCTGAGTAGACCTAGGAGTAGGTGCCTCTTGGGCTACATCACTTGGGGGTTCGTGAAGGCGATGTGAAGCCAAGGAAAGAGCAGCACCAGGTTTTTAAAATACAGGATGGTCCTGATACTCCTGAAGCCACCAGTAACATGATAGATGACCATCTCCAACGGCAAAAGCCTCCACTCCACCCAGCTGTCCTGCTTCGTGGACTGTGATGGAGGAAGGTGAAGTGATGCTTCTTTGGGATTTGTTTCCTGGGTCTGAAAGTCATCACAGCCTAATTACAGTCACTAGAAAGAAATTAAAGCTTCGTCAGGAATGTGCCATTCCCAGAAGCATTGTGTGATGGCTCGTATCTGGTGCACCGTAGGTGGCCTCGTGCATCCCTCAGCACCAGCTATGAACTCGGGGTGTGAAAACTGCCAAAATTGTTGAAATTTAAATTTTTCTCACCATTTTCATAGAATCATAGAATCATAGAATTGCCCAGGCCGGAAGAGACCTCCAAGGGTCATCTAGTCCGACCTCCCCGCAGTCAGCAGGGACACCCCCAACTAGACCAGGTTGCCCAGGGCCTCGTTGAGCCTCTCCTTGAATATCTCCAGAGAAAGGGCCTCAACCACCTCCCTGGGCAACCTGTTCCAGTGCTCCACCACCCTCCCAGTGAAGAACCCTCTCCTCATCTCCAGTCTAAAGCTGTTCCCCTCCAGCTTGAAGCCATTGCCCCTCGTCCTGTCACTGCAGGCCTTTCTAAACAGGTTCTCCCCAGCCTTCCTGTAGGCTCCCTTCAGGTACTGGAAGGCTGCTATTAGGTCTCCCCGGAGCCTCCTCTTCTCCAGGCTGAACAACCCCAGCTCCCTCAGCCTGTCCTTGTAGCAGAGGTGCTCCAACCCCCTGATCATCCTTGTGGCCCTCCTCTGGACCCTCTCCATCAGGTCTATATCCTTCTTCTATTGAGGGCTCCAGACCTGCACACAATTTTCTTTGATGAGACTCATTCTTACGGTTAGGAGAATGGATTTTTGTAAGCACCCCACTGTGGGCTCAAAGAGCTGGGAGATACAACCCCGTAGTGATTTCAGCTGGCCCTGTGATTAATGATTTCAGATCGTTTCTTTTGCAATCGGTGGTTTGATTTTGGAACCGGTCCTGACGTGGATCCTGGCGCACGGCGCCGTGAGGGATACACCCCCACGCTTCAACAACCCTGCTTTCCCAAAGCAGGGGAAAGTGATAAATGACTTTCCCTGGGAAGAAAGCGTAAACAAAAAAGAGTAAATAAATCCTGGCTGTTCTTTAAGAGGAATCCACAGGCGTGCCAAAATGTGCCTCAAGAACCGGGGAAGGGCACAATCTTGTCTACTTGTGAAGCAAAGGCCGCAATTAAAAATTGCCTTTCAAAACATGGAAAAGAATTGGAAGCAGTTTCAATGAGAAGATACTAGCTGTGGAGATGGATAAAGAAAGCTTTTATCGGGGGAAAAACCCCACTGGGATGGCAAAAAACAATAAAGAGCTTCTATCAAATGTCCTGGGAAGAAGTCCCAGAGCCAGCAAAGGTGACCAGGAGATTATTAAGATGGTGATGAATATGAAGAGCTTCCAGAAATTGTCTTTGTGCTGAATTTTGAAAGAATTGGGGTGATTTCTTGCATCGTATGAGGATGGCAAGGAAATTTCCAACCTGTTAGCAACCGTGGAGGATATTAAACACCAATAAGCAGGGATGGACGTGTCTGAATCTGCAAGGCTGGTTTGGTGACCACCCACTGGAGCCCCTCAGATGGACGTCCCAGAAGGAGATGGGGAGCGTTGCGGTGCTGGAGTGGGAGACGAAGGCAGGGCAGGAAGGAGGTTCTGGGTGAGCCAACAATGTTCCCTTGTGGCCAAGAAGGCCAATGGTCTCCTGGGGGGCATTAAGAAGAGCGTGGACAGCAGATCTAGGGAGGTCATCCTCTCCCTCCGTCCATCCCTCTGCCCTGGTGAGGCCACATCTGGAGTCCTGGGTCCAGTTCTGGGCTTCCCAGTTCAAGAAGGACAGGGAACTGCTGGAGAGGGGACAGGAGAGGGTACAAAGATGATCAAGGGACTGGAGCATCTCTCTGCTGAGGAAAGGCTGAGGGACTTGGGGCTTTTGAGTCTGGAGAAGAGAAGGCTGAGGGGGGATCTGATCAAGGCCTATAAATACTTGAAGGGTGGGTGTCAGGAGGATGGGGCCAGGCTTTTTTCAGTGGTGCCTGGTGACAGGACAAGGGGCAACGGGCACAAACTTGACCATAAGAAGTTCCACCTCAACATGAGGAGGAACTTCTTTCCTGTGAGGGTGACAGAGCCCTAGCAGAGGCTTCCCAGAGGCTTCCCACCTGGACACATTCCTGTCCAACCTGCTCTGGCTGGGGGTTGGACTAGATGATCTCCAGAGGGGTCCTTTCCAGCCCCCACCATTCTGTGATTCTGTGAGCACCAGTTGGGCTGCCTGACAATTTCTGGGCGGAAGAATGGAAAAGGTGACATCAGGTGTGATAGATAAAGAATTAAAGCAGAGGAGTGTAATTAATGCCAGTCAAAATGGTTTTCTGGAAAATAGATCTTGTCAAAGGGATGTGATTTCATTCTTTGACGAGATAACACATTTGGTTGAATCAAAGTGACTGTGTTGAGGTAATAGACTCCGCTGAAGCCGTTAGTGCAGCGCGGGCTGACACTCTGATTAACATTTATCGTGGTAAGCTATCAATAACGAGCACATTAAATGGATGGAGGGCTGGCTAACTGACAGGTCCCCGAGAGGGGCTGTCAGGAGGAAATCAGAAGCAAATGGTGATATTTCCAGTGGGATTCCTCCACCAAAATCGGTGCTGCTGGCACCCACGTGTGGCGTAACGGGCGGCGCGATGGTTTTTAACCGCATCCCCATCGCTGCCCCACGGCCACCGGTTTCTGTGGCCAGAAGGAGGGAGAGCATCCCAATTTTAGGTGGCTTCTTCCCCACCCCCTGAAGAAAACGGAGGGAAGATCACCGAGGCGAGGGGGATTTTATTCAGGTTTTGCGCTTCAGGTGCGAAAATGAGAGCAGAGCTCGGAAGGGATGTTTTAATTGGTAACTTTTTTTAAGCACCTACTTCTTGGCAGCCTTCATGGGCGACGTTCTGGAAGTCTCCCCAAGACTGACTGAAGTGATGAAAGAAACTGGAGCAAGAGCATATCAAGGACAAAGCCGGAATCCAGATTTTAATGAAGCAAACATAACCTTTTACTGAGGCAAACTCACCCTGAGTTCCTCACAAACCTGATTAAAGCCTATACAGCTATTCAGCGCGGCGTTTAATTATAGCAGAGCCGGCGAACCCCCTCGGAGTTAAGGATTTTACAGGATTTCTAATAAAACTTCCCTTCCCTTCCTAGATTTTCGGAGGCTTATAACTTCTTTATAGCGAAATGCCCTTCGGGCTGAAGCTTGATGATGCAAAACTGTAGCACGGTTGGTGCTCACCTGAGAGTGAATAATTTTGAGGGGTGTCTGAACCAA